GATTAACATTCGATCAAAGTGTAGAAACAGCAACAAAATGAGGGGAAAATGCACTTCTTACATGATTCTACTACTTTGAGAAATAAAACACATGTAAGCAGAGTAAATAATTAAAGTGCATTTAATATAAATGAGCATTTAGTATGCATGCTGCTCATGTTTAAGAATGAGACTGAATTCATGCCTCGTTCCAGCACAGCTGTATTCCTCGTGTGTGGTGTCCAACAAAACAAAGTGTGTTTATTTATGGATGAAGGGGTACTGAAACCGGGGGACGGAGTCTTATTTTATCAGCTTTTGCACATCCAGTCAATGTGCATGAAGCATTCAAACACGAGCATCCGTGCAAGGGGAAAAGTGCAAAGAGGATGGATTCCCATATCAAGATTCAGGCACGAACGCCTGAACTCAACAGCAAAAGTTCAGATGTTTTAATTATTAAGCCAGTAGAAAATCACAAGCGTGTCACGGTTCACAGGAACAACCGTTACTCTCTTTATTCATGCACACAGATAAAGCAGCGAGACTTTAAATTAGGCACTAGCTGTTGTTTTTTCGTGCCATCCAATTAAACTTTACTGTTTTCACCTGGAAACCGATTATTATAAACAAGCAGCCCAGTGATGTCATGAGAGTAAAGCTGGCTGTTCCCAGGAGACACAGCAACCTCTAAAACCTCCTAATTAAGTTATTTTCCAGGCTAAAAATAAAACAAGGAACCATATTTAACAGCTCAGGAGTTCTTTGATGGTTGTCAGTGTTTTTCAGGAGACTCATTAGTGATGTCCGTGGTAATCATAAAGAAGTAGTGAAGAGAAACAAATTGTATACCAGCAAATTCACCACTCACACGCAGATATTACAGCTAATTCAACACCTCCACTTTGTTTTGTCTCAGACCCTGCACCAGGAGCCGTCACAGACACATTAAAAGCCTGGCGATGGCCAAGCTGTAGCCGACTGTGGTCGGCTAGCTGTGGCAGCCATCTTGAAATTGGCCTGAGAAGTTAAATGATTGTGTTGCACCTTTCTGAGACTCATTATGCCGTGGTTTATGACCATCTGGGTTCACTCCACCAGAAAATGGTGACGTTTGAAGCATACACCTTGTGTGCCCTGGCTGCACATGATAGGGATGCGTCCTAGCTAATGTTGTGTCACATTTTCGCTCCATGTCTGTAAAATGGAGCAGGTTATGGACATTTCTGTGTTGGCCAAGATTAGCTCCTACCAGTTCTGACAGTAATCCAGAAGGGTACCTACGCTAAGATCCTGTTTGTGGACATCAGCTCTGTCTTCAACACACTGCCTATTGTGATGAACACACCAGCTCAACAACTGTCAAACAGACACACTTATGGTTGTTTCTTTAGTTTGTGTTCTGTTCTGTATGCCATTGGCTCTGGTGGCTTTCTATGCTCATGGCGGACTCTAACATTAAATGTTTAAAGCTACGATGTCACATGTTAGCCTCCACATTTAGCATCACCACATTTTAGCTCAAGACAAAGAAAATTCACTGGTTCTGGGCCGTTTTTGTGTTTGCTAAGGCTAGCTGTGGCTGCCAATCAATCAAATCAATCAAAGCTTTATTTATAAAGCGCCTTCCGCAACCCTGTCAGGAAGCCCAAAGCGCTGCCATCCTGAATTTGTTGATTCAACAATAATTTTCTCCGTTTTGTTCACATCCAGTTCAGTTCATGAACCACGTAACTAAACGACAGGGCTAACTTTGTTTGGTTTAAACAACACGTAAGCTAATATCACACGTGATCAGCTAGCTCTCGTGTTAGGGACGATGCTCGGCTACGACAACACTCAGTTTTAGCTAACGTTTATAAAACGGAGCGTTAGCTGGTTTGGGGTCAACTTGAAGACAAGAAAAGCTGTAAAGAACATGTCTGTCCATTGATTCGTGAGAATCACACACACACTTTTTAAATCTGGACCATCATGACAGAAGGCTGATGGGATACATTTCCCAGTAGATAACAACTTCCTAGAGTTTCTGTATCTTATCCTCCCAATTAGACCCCGTAAAGAGGAAGGCCCGGATGAGCCCACAGCCTGTTTTCTTTTAAACTTGTTTATGAGTTCATGAGGTCACAGAGATACTTCTGCTGCACGTCAGCTCACTGCGGAGCCAGCCCGAAGGCTTCCAAGTGCTTATTGATGCTGTGGAAGTGGGTCGCCCCACGCCAGTGAGTGGTTCTGAAGATCTGCAGCCATCTTTACCGATCCCCTCAGCTCTCTGTTTAATCACGACTGCCAGTGCCCAAACCCAAAAGGAAGACAGACAGTGCCGAGTCCCTGGAGTGGAACAATTTGGAGAAGCAGTCTGAAGTACGTGAAGCAGAGCCTCTTTCTGTCAGCCAGCCAGCGGGCCCACTGGTCCTGTTGTCCCCTGGCATCCTGACTCTTTCTATTAGCCTGCTGGTTAGACTGGCATTTAGACTGGCAGGGCAGACCGGTGCAGGAGCCAGAGGGTCTCCTGTTTGGACGGGGGGGCAGCAACAGGAGGGGAAAGCTCGGAGGAGCTCACAGCCATATGCAGCAGCTGCCTCCTCCAATCACGTCACTTCGGCTTAATTTGATTTCACGACGACAGGATTCAATTACTTTTTATTAATTTTGGCACAGTGAGACTACATCCAGTTTGATTCAATTTCTGCAGATGCAATTTAACTAGATGCAATCAGATTCACTGGAATTGAATGAATTTTTAAACATAATCTCGTCCCGTCTTCCTGCCGCTGTATAAATCCTTCTATACGACCACCTCCTGTTTTAGGGATGCCGTATTTAATGAGTGATGCAAAAGCGCCTCCTGTACCAGAACCTCCTCAGTTTAGTGGATCTGTGTTCTCCCCAGACTCCCTGAGGTCCACATTAGTCACTTCAATGACAGAAGTGGATAATTTAAGGGAAAAAAGGAAGGAGTTGCTGCTTTTTTCTCCTTAAGTGGTAAATGTTCACCTACTTGAGCCTGCTGATGGGATGTCATCCTCTGGTGCTGCATAAAACACTCTCCAGCACTAAATTCATCACTGAACAATCAGTTTTCATCCAAGCATGAATGTTTCTGTCTGACTGATGAAAACAGTTTAACCTGAATTGTCAGGATGGAGCCGACGGACGGGAAAACTGTCTTTATGGACGTGGCTGGCAGAAACGAGGACAACATGTTCCTGTTTCTCAGTTTCTCTGAGGCTGATTTAAACTTTTGGACAAACTCTGATCAAAAATGCTAATCTGAATAAACTCTGGTTTGGTGTGAGTTTCTAATGTAATCCTGATCATATACTTAGATGCTAAGTTACACACAGGAAGTTAGAAAAGTCAGACAGCAAAATGATGTCACTGAGGAAAGCCAAAAGCTGCAAATAAAGTGATTTTTCCAAAATAAAGGTGAGCAGCATTCTGAGGTTCACTACCCGAGTGTATCATTAGTAGTTGTAGTACTAGTAGTAGTAGTAGTCTGTAGTAGATGTTAAACAGAAATGCTGCCCCTGCTGTTGATCTTCAGGACGAAAACATGATGCACCTAGCGACCGTGTGGACTCCTCAGAGATCATCAGAAGTTATGAGACTTTTCTAAAGCTAAACATGCTCTACTCCGGTCTTATACCGGGCCTTCCCACCAGATATGCTAGCAGTGCGTAACAAAATGGAGGCGTTGAATCTGCTAGCTCAGCATTGAGTCACTTCATTTCTGGGACGCATCCAAAGTGTGACGTTTGGAATATAACGGTGGCTAAGTGCTGCGGACACTCCAGGGGAGCTTGCAGACATTACATGATGCTTACGCGTGCGGTAGAAAGGCCCAGTAGTTGTGAAGGTTTTATGTCCAGTTCAGTCGAGTCAGTCAGATTAACAAAGACAGCAACCTGACACAAACATTTTAACCAGGTAAAGATACCCTCTACATCTCTGGCATGAAGAGAAAAACATGTTTAACAAGCAACAATTGAGTCAGACTGAAGAACCACAACAAGCTAAAACGTTAGCCATTAGCTGCAGAGGCGAATTGATCCTTAAATCTGTGTTTCCACTATTCTACAAACTATTTTCCTCCAAATGAAACAGCACTCAAAAACAGAAATGTAGGTCTGCCATAAGACTGGATCTCTCTGAAGCCCTGAACACCACCACACCCTCGTCTAAATCAGGTGTTTTAGCAACAGGTGAAAACTATACACAACATTATAAACCCTGGCTGCACCACAAGCAATCACATAAAACTCATGTATTCCAGCATCCCTCCACCACAGAAACTCTCTTAGTAGAAAAAACAATGTAGAATAAAACTCAAAATGTCCAGGTTGAAGGCCAACGCCGGAGCTCAGCTGGTAGAGTGCTGAAGGGCTCAGATGAGAAAGCAAACAATCAGAGGTAAACAAACCCACCGACTCCAGTTCTGAAATTGGAGTGTTGATGTAATCCACAAGAAAGAGTATCGAGTCTGGCAGGTTTCAGGACCAGGTTGTATTGACCCAACAATGAATCACCAGCAAACATTCTAATAGCAATTTACATTCAAAAGGATGAGAAGTGTGATTTTTTTGATGAGTCATGGCTGGATGTGAACAAGCGTAAAGGCTCGAATCCCAGGGTGCATTGGGACTAACCAAAGCATGGGGGCATTACTCGTTAAGACCATGAGCGCCCCACCCCCAAAGAGACGCAGTGACTTATCTTAATTACATCATTCAACATCAGACAGGTGTGTCCCAAGCAAGTGTGTCATTCATCACGCTGAGCACCAGTAACATTTGTAACAACTGTAACTCCTGTAACATCTATAATGTCTGTAACACCTGTAACATCTAACACCTGTAACACTTTTAACACCTTTAAAATCTATAACACCTGTAAAATCTAACGCATGTAAAATCTGTAACATCTAACACCTGTGAAATATAACACGTGTAACATCTGTAACACCTGTAACATCTAACACATGTAACACCTGTAATATCTAGCATCGTAGCACCTAGAGCTGAAACAACTAATCGATTTAATCGATTATAATCGATTATTAAAATAGTTAACAACTTTTTTAGTCATCGATTAGTTGTTTAATAATCATATTTTACCGCATAAAGTCTATTTTTACCACAATCTGACATCGGTTACAAGCTGTTAAATTTGCCGCCAGTGTGTGGCAGTAATGAGCCACTGATCTACCAGTGGAGCCGTAGAAGAAGAAATGAGCCAATGAGTGCCCTCGGTTTTCATGACGTATCACGTTACTGACGCTCATCTTGCTGTGAGAGATGGCGGAACAAGAGGAAATACGGAAGAAAAATAGAAGCGACAAAATTTTAGAGAAACCCCGGACAAAAACCTCACGAGTATGGGAGCACTTCACTAGATGCATTGAAAAGGCAAAATATGCAAAAACCATTAGCATGGCACGGAAGCACGACGTCCCTAAGTGAACATTTGAGACAAAAACGTGGGGGCTGAGGAAGAGCACCGCGGTCAAGTGAGCCGTCATTTGGAAGAGCCAGCCCGGTAAGTAACAGAAAATAAACAAGCTGGACTTAGTGTTTTAGCTGAGTTCGTTATAGTGGATGTTAAACATGTTTTTTTGCCGCGTCAGTCTACGGTGTTCTACTTCTGATTGACTAGATGCAATCGTGAATCTCCTCCGTGTTGTGAATCATGCGCTTGCCAAATTTAGCACGTCTGTTTATAAGAATGTTCTAGTTAAGAGAAAAACGGCACAAACCCATAACTATGTTCCTCATTCAAAAAAGGACAACTCCGCGGTGAAAAATATACAGACGAGCTGTGTCCAGGTGAATATAACGCGGCATAGTTGTACGCTTTCAATTTTTAAATACAGGAGAAATTCAGAAAAAGTCATTTTTTTACTATTAAAAGGCTGTTTTACTATCTAACGCTGTAAAACGCCTCACAACACATTTTTATCATGTTTCTTAAACAGTATTACACAAAATAATCATTTTTCACATTTTTCTAGCTAATTTAAACACTCCCGACTCAAAGTAAAAACCTCATGAGCTTCTTACTTAGAGCTTTTTAATAGTAAAAAAATTAGACTTTTTTTCTGAATATCTCCTGTTGCGGGCTATTTTGTAGAACGTAACCCTCAAAATAAATGATCACTGTATATTGTTAACTAATTCAAATAATATAATATTGATTTAGTGTTGTAGTGTGTGTGCTGCTTTATTTTATATGTGTACTTATTTCAGTCTATTTGTGTTTCTTATGCAGAAAAAAAACAAGCAACGATGGACAACTACATGGGGAAAGAGACACTCACCCCCCAGCAATTCATACCACTTACAAACTCTATTCTAAACATGCTGGTAAAAGACATGAGGCCACTATCCATGGTGGAAGGAGCAGGCTTCCAGCTAATGCTAAAAAATTATTCTGGACTGATATTTTGCACTGTTTAGCTCATTTTATACTGCTGACTGTGTTCATGTGCAATAAAATAGATTGCAGTCAACTGCACAATTCTCTTATGTTTTTTTTTCTTAACTGAAATGCATCCATCACTTGTATAGGTTAAATAGCTAAACAATAACAAACCGATTAATCGATTAATCGAAAAAATAATCGACAGATTAATCGATTATGAAAATAATCGTTAGTTGCAGCCCTAGTAGCACCTGTAACATCTAACACCTGTAACATCTGTAACATCTATAGCACCTGTAACATATAACACCTGTAACATCTGTAGCATCTGTGACAACTGTAACATCTATAACACCTGTAACATCTAACACATGTAACATCTAACACATGTAACACCTGTAACATCTAACATCTGCAACACCTGTAACACCTGTAACATCTAACACATGTAACAACTGTTACACCTGTAACATCTAACACATGTCACATATTACTCATGTAACACCTGTAACATCTAACACCTATAACAACTGTAACACCTGTAACATCTGTAACACCTGTAACACCTATAACAGCTGTAACATCTAACACCTGTAACATCTGTAACATCTAATACCTGTAGCATCTGTAACACCTTTAAAATCTATAACACCTGTAACATCTGTATTACCTTTGACACCTTTAAAATCTATAACACCTGTAACATCTAACACATGTAACATCTAACACCTGTAACACCTGTAACATCTAACATCTGCAACACCTGTAACATATAACACATATAACATCTATAACATCTGTAACACCTATAACATCTATAACACCTGTAACAACTGTAACATATAACACATGTAACACCTGTAACACCTGTAACATCTGTAGCACATGTAACGCCTAACACCTTTAACATCTAACACCTGTGACATCTGTATGAACTGTAACACCTGTAACATCTAACATCTGTAACACCTGTAACATCTATAACACCTGTAACATCTTTAACACCAGTAACACCTGTAACATCTAACACCCGTATTACCTGTAACATCTAACACCTGTAACATCTAACACCTGTAACATCTTTAACACCTGTAACACCTTTAACACCTGTAACACCTGTAACATCTAACACCCGTATTACCTGTAACATATAACACCTGTAACATCTGTAGCATCTGTGACACCTGTAACATATACAACACCTGTAACATCTAACAACTGTAACATCTAACACCTACAACACCTGTAATATCTAACACCTGTAACATCTGTAACACCTGTAACATCTAACACATGTAACATCTGTAACACATGTAACATCTGTAACACATGTAACATCTAACACATGTAACATCTTACTCATGTAACACCTGTAACATCTAACACCTATAACATCTGTAACAACTGTAACATCTAACATCTGTAATACCAGTAACATCTAACACCTGTAACATCTGTAACACCTGTAACACATGTAACACCTGTAACATCTATAACAGCTGTAACATATAACACCTGTAACATTTGTAACATCTGTAATATCTGATACCTGTAACACCTGTATTATCTATAACACCTGTAACATCTGTATTACCTTTGACACCTTTAAAATCTATAACACCTGTAACATCTAACACCTGTGACATCTAAGACCTGTAACACCCGTAACATCTAACATCTGCAACACCTGTAACATATAACACATACAGTATAACATCTGTAACACCTATAACATCTATAACACATGTAACATCTAACACCTGTAACATCTCAAATCTGCAATACCTGTAACATATAACACATGTAACATCTGTAACACATGTAACGCCTAACACCTTTAACATCTAACACCTGTGACATCTGTAAGAACTGTACCACCTGTGACATCTAACATCTGTAACACCTGCAACATCTAACACCTGTAACAACTGTAACACCTGTAACATCTAACATCTTTAACACCTGTAACATCTAACACCCATATTACCTGTAACATCTAGAACACCTATAACGCCTGTAACCAGTGTTGCCAACTGTTTTTGACTGAAAGTAGCTGAAGTTCCCCCCAAAAGTCACTAGATGTCGCCAGATGACGTCACGTGCTTATTTACATATTGATGACGTCATCACGCCACATTAGCGTTCGTTTTCTCTATGGCATCTAATATATATATATATATATATATATATATATAATAGGACTAAAAGGGAGGAAAATAAATACTATGTTATATGTTAAAGTTATTAATTAGTATGATTAAAATGGCCCAAATTGCTTTGATATGTACAATAAATTCCAAAACTACCAATAAAGTGGCATTAAAACAGATATGGTGTGGTGATCCAAACAGTTCTGTTGTAGGATATAACTCAGACCTCCTGCTCTCCTCATTCTCACAGACATTTTCCTAAAAAGCTGTTTTTTTACACCTCATAGTTTCTCAACTTCTCTGTTGTGTATTCTCTCCATCGTGATAATAACGGCGCTCCGAGCAAAAGGGAGCGCGTGTCTCATAGTATAACCATCCCTGTGTCACTGAAGGAAATTCAGATGAGCCACAGAGCTGCGTGTGTAAACGGGACGGTAGTTGAAACTCCCGATGACTTTATTTGCCAAATGCAGGAAAAACCAAAGTGTCTGACGGCTGCAGAACCAGAGATGGCAGGTTGACGCCCGCGCCGTCTCTAGTAGAAGCGTGAGCCTGCAGCAATATGAAAGCAGCAGACGTAAATCGGCGGTCTCCAGCTCTGCAGCTTCAGCGAATCAGACCGGCCGAAAACGGTTTATGATTGGTCAGTCCTCGTGCACATGCGCAGATTATCGTTCTCTTTCCTTACTCCCGGAAGAACGGTTCAGAGTGCAAACGGTTTCTTTGTTGCTGATCTGTAGGGAATATCTACATGAAAGTTCTACAGAAAGTAGCAACGGGTCCTGAGAAATGTCGCTAAGTTTGTCACTAGGCGCTTTTTGGAAAAAAAGTCGTTGAGGGGGGTCAAAAAGTCGTTAGGAACAGTGACAAAGTCGCCGAGTTGGCAACACTGCCTGTAACATCATTCTGGTTCTACCCCCCCCCCTTCCCCGATGTATGGCCACCCCCCACCCCCCCACCCCGATGTAGGGTCACAACCCCACCCCCCACCCCCCACCCCCCTGTGATGTACTGTTACTTCAGGGTACTGTCTTTGTGGGTAAAATGAAGCTGATGAGAATGAAAATAAATTGATTGATGATGAAACTCTGTTGCAACACCCGCTAAAGTGATGAATATTCAAAGTTAAGAATAGAAAAACATCTTTGTTCAAGCTCAGAATCTCAGATTTATGACCCCCTTGTGTTTTTATCACTAAGACAACATGTCTCTGTCCACTCCCAATGGACAAAAGGACATCTCCATATGGGTGGAAGATGGATGGCTGTGAGGTTCGAGTCTCAGACAGAATAAGATCTGAGGGTAAAGCACAACACCGGTGTCACACATTAACTTGGTATTATAAAATCAGCAGACATTCAGATTTATTTTCCATTTAAATCAGGAACACTAGTTTTACCTTTTATCAAAAGCAAAGAGTCCAAACCCTGCTACTGCAGCCTGCCACTAGAGAAAGCCTGACACCTAAACTGTATTATTGTGCTAATAATTCATGTTTACAGATTTCCTCTCAAATATTAAAGCATGAACATTATTTTTGATCCCGGGGGATGTAAGACTTTAACTTAATGTCTTTGTCCCTAAGATATGATTGTTTTATTACTCTCTGATCCCCACCAGCAGATACCAGCAGGTACCAGAAGGTACCAGCAGGTACCAGATGATACCAGCAGGTACCAGTGGCTGTGAGGAAACTAGGAAGTCAGCTTCATGGATCTAAGAACACTAGGGATGTGAATCGTAGAGCAACTCACGATTTGATTCGATTCCGATTCTTGGGGTGCCGATTCGATTCAAAATCGATTCTCGGTTCTCAATTTAAATCGATTCACAATCAGTATTAACAAAGAGTGTCAGCTCCAGGATGAACTACTTTGTTGTACAAGTTAGTTAAAGCTATGGGACATTTTTATTTGACTTTAAACTGTTCATGCTCAAAAAATGCAAATTTACAATGTAAAATAAAGTGATTCTAAAACTGTAAACAGAAACAATCTTTTGACCAAAAGGCAACATTTATTTTTGCTTACCTTGTAAAATATAACAAATCTGTAGTTACCTAACAGTAGCTTTGAAAGTAACACGGTCAAATACTTTTCAAGTATGTGTAGAAACAAGTTACATGAGTAATCCTAAGCACTCATTTATCAACTTAGAAAATAAATGAGAATATCTCACATTTCTGAGTATGGAAAAATGACCTTATCAGCAGATTCAAACATAAATCATCTCAATTTATGGGACCACAAAAGTAAACAGAATTCTGACTCTCCTAACAAAGATCAAGAAAGTGCATCTCAGACCTGTAACATGCCAAATATTGGAGTTCTTGAAATCGATTCTGAACCTTTGTGAATCGATTCTGAATCTTTATAAATAAGAATCCCGATTCAGACTTGAATCGATTTTTTTTCAGCACCTCTAATGAACACCTAAACCATCTATAATCATAATCCCCCCCTGTAAGAACAGAGCAGCAGCACTGAGGCTGTAGGAGCTGCAATCCTGGACCTCTCCCCCCAGACCCTCAGCCTCCTCCGCATGCAACATGCTGGAGGAGAAGAGCAGAAGCACTCTGCGGCGCTCTACCCCCACCTGCCGTTGTGCGTCAGCACGCCAGGGTCCAGCTCTGCAAAAGAGATCCCCAATAAAATCACAAATGAGATCTGATCTGAAACTCTGACTCGTTTACGTCTCAGAAAGCATTCCCTCCTGCGGGGATTCCGTCCCAACCAACTCATCCTGGAGGAGGTGGGCGCGCGCTTCAGCCAACTTCATCGGGAAGAAGAGCGATGGTCCTTACGCAGAGAGGAGAGAGAGAGAGAGAGAGAGAGAGAGAGAGAGAGAGAGAGAGAGAGAGAGAGATGACCAATTAACAGCTGGAGGGGTAAAGAACCGCAGCTGTGCGCCACGTGTCCGCACAGGTGCACCGAACTGAACCAATTAGAGCTGAACAGACGCAGAATTTGCGTTACAACTTTGAACAGGAGCCGCATCGCTCCCGCGGTCATGCAGCTTGCGGAGATAAGAGTCTCCGATCTGCTGCGAGAAGAAAAGGCGGTGGTCTAAATAAAACACTTCGGGGGCGCTTCCGGTCAACTTGGAGAGAAACAAGAAAAATGCGTTTTTCTGACAGAAAACAGCAAAAGTGCGTCTGCAAAAAGAAGTTAAAGAGGGAAACGAGCTGGTGTTGTATTCTAGGAGAGTATCTCCACACGCCCCCATCAGTGAGGACCGCACAGACGTGCTCCAACTACCAACCACCTCCGCCCCGCTCTCACACACAACTTATCCACAAAGTCACCCTCCGAGCTCCGAGCCCAGCGGCACCGAGCGCCTGCTTACCCCGGCTGATGCCGACGAGCGCCCCGACGAGGAGAGCCAGCTTCAGCAGCATTTCTGTGGCGGGTCTCGCTGCTGCAGGACGGTGATGCTTTTAGGTTGAAGCTGCTGCGGAAAATCGACAAGGACGACACGCATCCGCTGTTCCGGGCTCCGCTGGCGACTGATCTGCCTCTGCGCAGCGCTGCTTCCTCTCCCTTCCCTTCCTATACGCGCGCTCCCGATCCACGCTCCTGCTGCTTAGGACCCCCTCCAGCATCGATTCCTTCAACCCGCTGCTGGGAGCTGCTTGTGGTAAACAGGCAGGATCCTGGGGAATGTGCTGCTGCCGTTCCCAGATAATAAATATGTGAAGAGCTCAGAAATACTAATTAACAGGAGCGGAGCTGAGATTTCTGGGTCCCCATTCAAGAGTGTGTGCCCCCCCCCCCCCCCCCCCCAAGTTAAAGCTACATTCCGCAACTTTTACACCTTGATTCAACATTTACATCTTCATTATTCAACATTTTCACAGGCATGCTCGTTATGTGCTTCTAACTGTTAAACAGTGCCTTTTCGCCGTCATTACATAACAAAATGATTAAGATAAATTGGTAAGATTAAAATATTAAAACTTCACCTCGCTGCTCATTGCTGATGGTTTACGAGCTCAAAGACCACTTCATGTGTTTGTTTGTGTACACGAGTTGAAAAATAGCCAATGTGTGACAGAGACCTGACTTTGCAACAATGACATTATGCAGCCAGTCTGGAGGGGGCGATAGAGACCTTACAGAATGGGGCTTTAAATAAAAAATACACCAAAATCTTTATGTTCCAGTTGTTTACATTTGTGTTAAGATTAGTGTAGACCAGAGTTCAACATTCGGTCTTCTAGCTGAATGTTCAGGACCACATGAACACGTGTTTCACATGAAAATGAAACATGTTTCACATTTGATTCTGTAATGAAGTGTTAATTACATTTAATTAAGGACCATAAGACATTAAAAATTCATATTGAGTATGAATTCCATCTTACGGAAACTGGATTATTTAAATCAGAAGATTGGATCTTTTTATTGCAGGGATTTAGATAACACTTTGTAATAACTGAGAGACAAGAGAAGAGAGAGACACCTTCAAACGTTTAAGGAAATTTATTACTAAATAATTTTAAACAATTTAACAAGACTAACTCTCTAATGACGGATGTTCTGTTTGAATGAGGTGTGAGATGGTTGGTGTGTGTGAATGAGTGTCATTCAGAACCCTCGCATCCGGAGAAGCAAAGTCTGAGTGGGAGATGATGTTTTGCTCCTAACTGATCAGAGTTTGAGACTCGTAGTCATGAACACATGAGACACCATTTATGTTGCATCCACATACCCTCAGTGAGACTTTTTAATCCGGATGCCAGGCCCACGACCCTCCTTGATACTGGAGCCGTTGAAGCAGCGTCGACAGTACGACAAACCAGTCTTTGGCTAGTCTCCAGGTAAAAAGCGACAGGTTTTTCTCAGCGTCAAAAAGGGGACCCTCCTTGGGTCAGCGAGTTCAGCTTTCATCCTGAAAGGTACTGTTGCTTGGTTGGTAACAAAACAACTGAATTTTCCCAGCTTGATGGTTCTCAGCTTAAAAAGAGAAGTATAGATGGCCGGTCCATACTTCACTTAACATGCAGTGAACTTCATGGGATCTTGAGAACAAGATCTTGAGAACTGAACTTAAGATGGCGTTGGAACTTTTTTATTAATCTGGATGTTTTTGATTCTGGACGAATCAAAGCTGACAGATGTATTAACACCAAAGAGACTCTGCCACGCTTCAGACTATGAAGGTTCTGATTGGATCAGTACAGCAATGTGTCATGTGATTATTTAGTGAACTAGATTAAGTCATATTACTTATTAAAACATATTAATCATAACATTGTGATTTCACAGATCGGTCACATTGTATGTCTTAGGTGTGTTCTTGCTGTGTCATATTTCTAATTGCATGCTGTAGTTCTTTTATAAAACACAGAACAGTTTTGTTACCTGTTTTCCCGCTACGTTTCTTTTGCGGCTGCAAAGTTCCTCAGGCTGACGGTGGCGTCACTTCCTTCTCCGTTTATCCATTTATCCGCGGGCAGCAGACCCAGAAGACACAATAATCAGCTGGACATAAATGTGGAGTCATTTACGAAATCCCATGCAAACTCTGCAATAAAACATACATAGGAGAAACCGGATGCCAACTCAACACACGAGCAATAGAACATAGAAAGGAGAGTGAGAAAGAGGAAAGTCAAAAACACACAAGAGCAGCAAAAGAAGGAGCAGAAAGTACAATAAAGAAGTCAGTCGTAACAGATCACTGCATAAGAGAAAACCATATAATGGACTGGGACAACACAAGGATCATAAACAACGAACAACAGAAATACAAAAGGTGGATTAAAGAAGCAATCGAGATAAGGAGACGTGGATGTGGGACCATGAACTCGTTGGACCGCGCATAGGACTGCATCGTCGGAGAGGGGAGAGCGGGCAGCAGAGGGCAGAGATAAATGTCTTCTCCATACATTCTCCTGCAATGCCCTGGTCCTGTAGAATGAGCCCTGGCATTTTTACTGTGATTGCCTGTTTTTCTGTAAAATCACAGAAAAAGAGAGCTGCTCGGGTCGAGCAGGCTGCTTCATGCGCATTCACGCTCAGGCATAGCCCGTAGCATTTTCTATCCGTAGCTTTAGCAGCAGAGAGAGAGGCAGTGCCAACTCAGCGACTTTGTCGCTGTTCCTAATGCCTAGTGATGAACCCAGCTACATTTCTGAGGACCCTTGGCTACTTTCTTCTAGATATTTCCTGCAAATTCACAACAAAATAGCCATTTTCCCTCCGAACCGTTCTTTGAATGTTGTTTCAGCTGTCATTAAGAATATAAATATTACAGATACAAAAGATGTTACTGGTGCTTTAGCTCACCTAGTAAGACGTCAGCCTCTCATGTGGAAGACCTGGGTTCTATTCCGAATGTGAACATAGTTTGTTTAGAGTTTCTTTTTTACATTAATGGTATTTTTTTACAGTAAGATGCCCAAATTTTTATTTGAGACTCGCCAAACGGCATTGAATTCGCAGATAATAAAGATGTGGGTTCAACTTTCATTTTGGAACAATTTTTCAAGCAAGGGAAGGGAATGATCTGAACATGCAGGAGGACTGACCCATCTTAAACCTTTGTCGGCTGTGCTGAAGAGAAAGGTACAGAACCAAATTATTTAATTAATTAGCTGCGCGTTCTCCTGTCCTCTGTCCTCCGGGCCACACACACACACACACACACACACACACACACACACACACACACACACACACACACACACACACGGGACTGTCTCAGCTGTTATTTTCGTGAAGGAGTGTGTTGGGTTAAAGTTGAGTAAATGGAGGTCTAACTGGTCCACCACCACTGAGAACTACATCTCCCAGAATGCACCAACAAAATGGCGACTGATTGGTGATAAAAAACACCTATGCAGGGTGGTGGCTCTCAGTCCTTAGTCAAACAGGAACAGCACAGCAAGCTCTAACAATGAGTTGACTCTAAAGACGCCAATGGTTGGTAACTATTGTTTTATTTATGATATGAAGTTGTTTTGGGTGACCTTTGAAGTCATGCTTTAATTTAATTGTTTACACTGTTAGTGTGGGAAGATTTAGTTTAGAAGTTCTTTGTTTATTGTATTTTATATAAATGATGTGACATCTAACACTTATCTCTGTTCTTTGAAGGTTATCAACCTAATGTTCACTGAACTGACATAATAAAAATTGTTGGAATGTGATGGAGTTGTCCCAAAGTGTCCCTTTAGAGTGAAACTAGTGTGGAGCTTGACAGTTGATAACCACAGAGCACCCTGGAAAAGGAGATAAAGGGCTTCAAACCAGAAAAGCTGTGGACGCAAGAGAAAATAAAGATGGCAGAAGAGGTCTTGGGGAAGACGGTCAAACTGCTGAAGCAGGAGAGGACCAGCGCTAAAAGCAGCTTCACCAGACTAGCCAACTATATTTCAAGAGGAGCAGACATCATGCTGAAAACCGAATTAGAAGAGGAATTTGGAAAACTTTCAGACCGGTTCAGGTCAGTTCTTGACTCTAATGATGACTACAGGATTGGACTGGAGGCTGATGTCAAGGCAGTGGATGAAGAAGCAGAACTTGATAAGCAGCAACAGACCGACATTCAAATGACTTTAAAAGATGCAGAGAATAAAATGAAGGAGGTTACTGCCGCTGTACAAGCTAACCTGTGGGGAAGATATGGAGAAAGGGAGCTTAAAACATCAATCCATGAAGCAGAGGAAGTAGTTGATGAAGCTGAAAATATGCAAGTCAAAAGTGACAATTTGGAGGGCTATGAGGTTCACCTCACTTTATTAGGTGAGAAGGTTAGTGCAGTCATCTCAACTATGTCTGTGTGGGAGAGGTGGATTCCTGACTCATCTAGAGATGAAATGAATGGGAGACTGAAAGGACTGAGAGCAGCCCACTGCAGGCTAAAAATGAGAAAAGCTGAATTTGCCATATTAAGGAGGCTAGCTGATCAAGGCACGAACGGTAAACCTATCCAACCATTACCACCTGTTGTGAAGATAAAACCAACTACCCTTCCTGTCTTCCAGGGAAATATGAGAGAGTTCTACAGGTGGAAAAAAGACTGGGAGAGCCTGCAAAGGCAGGGAGAGCCCACTGGCTCACCTGAGGTGCTCAAGATTCAGCTCCTGGAGAGTGTAAGTGAGACCATCGTGAAGGAGCTGAGACTGTCAACTTATACAACTGCAGATGATATGTTCAGAGTCCTGGAAAATAGATACGGCAACAAGTCTACCATTACAGTTGAAATCCTTGAAGAATTAGACAAAATGCCGCAGGTGAAGGGGAACCAGCCGAGGAGAGTCATTGACCTGATTCAATCTGTAGAGAAAGCCCTGGCAGATTTGACAGAGCTGGGGAACATTGGAGCCATAAAAAATCCGTTAGTCATTAAGTCCATTGAAAGCAAGTTACCTGACTTCATAAAAAGAGACTGGCTAACATTTCTAGTTAACCCTAAAAACAATGTCACAGCAGATACTCACTTTGACACGCTCTTGAAGTTCCTGAAGAACCAAGAAGAGATATTGGAAAGACTTGAACAACTGAGAAGTGTGGATAAGGTGGACAAGTCTGAGAAAAGGCATGAAAGAAGGTCTACATCAGCCAGAGCTACAACAAAAGAAGTTGACAAGGGTTGTGGTGTCTGTGGTGATTATGGGCACAGCAACAAAATATTCTTCTGCAAGAAATTTAAAGCTTTGAAGCTATCTGAAAAGAAGTCTGTTTTGAAGAAGCTGGGAGCATGCAATAAATGCTTAGTATACCATGATGATGACAGATACTGCAAAGACAATTTCCTATGCAAAAACACGTACTGTAAAAGGGGAGAAACTGGGCCAGACCACCATTATTTCCTGTGTCCAAAAGCTGAAACCAAAGGACAAGGGGGCACAGTTGGAAAATATGGAGGAAAAGGAAAGTTCACAGAAGAACAGGAAGATTTCTTATCACTACTTTCCCCTGAACTAGCAGATCAGTGCAGAAAGGCATTCACAAACAAATCTTCAGTTACACTCAAAGCTGCAGGCCAGTCTGAATTACTGAAGAGGAATGAGCTGGTTGAACTTCCGGTGATTATGATGCTGATGCAAGTAACGGCCAATGCAGGTCAGAAGATAGGCACCCTCATTGACCTAGCATCAGACACCAATTACATAACTCACAGAGCTGCGGAAAGATTGGGCCTCAGGGGTGAAGAAATAACCCTGGTTGTACATGGAGTTGGTGGAATGACCATGGACGTTATAACAAAAAGGTACCTCCTAAAAGTCAGAGTCAAAACTCAAAAGGGGACTGAAAGAGCACATCAACTAGTCTGCTATGGCTTGGATGAAATTGCAAAAGTTTATCAAGCAATTCAGCCTGAAAAGTTGAAAAGATTCTTCCCAGACGTCCAGCTCGAAGATCTGAAAAGACCAGCGGAAGTTGAGCTTCTCATAAGCCATCGAGAGGGAAGACTTGCACCCCAAAGAGTTAGAGTCATTGGAGACCTTGTTTTGTGGGAAGGCCCATTGGGAAAAACAGTGGGCGGAGCTCATCCTGATTTGTTTGAAGAAGTAGAGGTGACAGCATATGAATCAAGTGCCCACTTTGCTCGCTCTTTGCGAACTGCTGCTGTCAAATATCAAGAAATTACAGTTCCAGCAACCAAGCCAGCTTGGCAATTGCAGGCAGATGCGTCTCTGTCCAGATTTACATCTACCAGTAACCGTGAGTTCCTTGAGTGGTGGCACTGGGACAGCATCGGAGCCGCATGCGAGCCAAGATGTGGAGGTTGTCGATGCGGAAATTGTTCGCCAGGAGGAAGAGACATGACCTTGGCTGAGGAGAAAGAGTATGAGATCATTAAAGGAGGGCTCACATACATGGAGAAAGATGCTCACACACCATCTCCACATTGGGATGCAAAGTATCCTTGGACTGAAGATCCCGCCTCCCTCCCTAACAACAAAAGGGCAATTCAGGCTTGTTTCTTAAGGATGGAAAAGCAGCTGAGCAAAGAGCCAGAATGGAAAATCGCTTATGCAACCCAAATCCATGACATGGTCGAAAGAGGTGCAGCTATGAAACTCACCAGTGAAGTCCTGGACAAGTGGACAGGTCCAGTGTGGTATGTTAGTCACCTGGTGGCGCTAAATCCTCATTCGGTGACAACACCAGTCCGCATTGTATGGAATAGCAGCCAGAAATACAAAGGTGTGAGCATGAACGATCTTCTCTTGAAGGGACCAGATGTCCTTAACCCCTTAAGAGCTGTCCTGTTAAGATTCAGAGAAGGGGTACATGCAGCTCTGGGAGATATAAAGAAAATGTATAACTCTGTCTGGTTGGAGGAGCGAGAAATGCATCTACACAGATTCCTGTGGAGAGACAATCCTACAGAGGAGATCTGTGAATATGCAATCACCAGAGTCAACGTCGGCGACAAACCTGCAGGTTGTATTGCGCAGTTGGCTATGACGGAGACCACAAGTCTACCTAACTTCGCTCACTTGAAGGATGAACGAAGAGTTATTGAAGAGGACAGTTATGTGGATGACCTCTTGACCTCCCACAATGATTTGCACAGGCTTGACAAAATTACAGCAAAAGTTGAAGAGATTTTAAAAGGTGGGGGTTTCTTCCTTAAACCCTGGGTCCGGTCAGGGCAAAGTGGGAGGAAAGGAACTGAAGCAGATGTACTAAACCAGGATCAAAGGAAAACCTTAATTCTTCCAAACCAGATGAAAGAGGGAATAAACAAAGCCCTGGGCATCGGCTATCAAGTAGATGAGGACAAACTCTACATGCTGACTGCAGTAAACTTTTCTAAAAGGAAGAAGAAGATGCGAGTTGGAAAAAATCTTCTTGAAGAGGAGGTGAGAACACAAACTCCTAACCAGTTGACAAGAAGAGTTCTCCTAAGCCAAGTTGCTGCACTATATGACCCAATTGGCCTAGTTGCACCAGTCAAGCAGAAAGGAGCGATCCTTGTTCGTAAAGCGTTCCAAGAAGGAGGGGGTGGCAAGTTGACCCAAGAAACCTGGGACCGACCTCTCTCAGAAAGTCTCGGAGAAGAAGCCATACAGCTTTTTGAGAACTATGCACAGCTTGGTCACGTAAAATTCCACAGAAGCCTCACACCATCTGACCGGAAAGGAAAACCTTGGGGTATCACATTCTCTGATGGAAGTGATAAATCCTATGGAGCTGTGATGTACTTAAGATGGGAGACAAATCAAGGCATTGAAGTCAGGTTTGTGGAAGCCAAAGCCAAGCTGACACCCTTAAATCAGAAAGGAGATGCCGTTAAGGCAGAAATGTGTGGCGCAGTCTTTGCAGCCAGGATCAGGAAGTATGTGGAGAAGCATGCTCGAATGAAGATTGAGAGGTGGTTCCACTTACTGGACAGTCAGACAGTCCTTGGAGCTATCCAACGAGACAACTATGGATACCAAACATTCTTTGCAAATAGAGTGGGTGAGATCCAGAAGGCCGGGCTAGTGCAAGACTGGTGGTGGATCCGTGGAGATCTAAACATAGCTGATATCTTAACCAGAGGAGGCGCTCCTGACGATTTGAAGGAAAATTCCACATGGCAAAATGGACCAGAGTTCTTGAAGTGGCCAGTGGATGAGTGGCCTATTCAATCGGCTGGAGAAGTGGCAGCCCAGGCCAGAGAAAGGGTGAATAAAATGCAAAGAAAAACATTTTCAGCTACATTGACAAGAGGTCAAGCCAAGACGAATCAGGAAAAAGATTTGTGTAAAGAAAAAACATCCACTCCACCAAAAAGGTTTCCCACTGGCTGGGTTAAACGTCTTGTGGACATAAAACGATTCAGTAGTCTAACCAAACTGAAGAGAGTTATTGCCTGGATCCGTCGAGTTGCTGAGCAGTGGCTAAAGAGGACCTCAAACCCAGAACAGAAAAAATGGATTGCAACAACACCTAAGCAGGCTGGATTGAAAAACACAGAACTTCAGGATGCATGTGATGACATCTTTCTCTCGGCTCAAGTAGGTGTAACATTTCCAGACACAACTCTCAGCAGATTGGCAGTATACAAAGATGAGAACACTGGACTGCTACTTTGTGGAGGTAGAATCCAGGTGTTCAATGAAGAGAAGACTGCTGTACCTGTTTTGCCATATGAATCCTGGGTGTCTACTCTGTTGGCACGAGAATCTCATGAAGCCAACCATGAGGGGGTAGCAGGAACCCTTCTCCGGATGAGGAAGACAGCTTGGATAATTAAAGGCCGGAGAATCGCTAAGAGGGTGGTTGACAGCTGTGTACGCTGCAGGAAGAACAGAGCAAGGCTGTGTCAACAAATAATGGCAAACTTGCCTCCGGAGAGAACAAACCCAGCTGCTCCTTTTGAATTCACTACCGTGGACCTGTTTGGCCCATATGAGGTCAAAGATGAAGTCAAGAAAAGAACTAAAATCAAAGTATGGGGAATCATCTTCTGTTGCATGGCCTCCCGTGCCATACACACAGACGTGGCAAGTGACCAGTCATCCGAAGGTTTCCTGCTGGCCTACCAAAGGTTCACTTCACTGAGAGGGCACCCCAGGAAGATCTGGTCAGACCCTGGCACTAACTTTGTAGGAGCCAAGCCTGCTCTCGAAAAGCTGTACAACTTCCTTGACCAACTGAACAAGTCTGAAGTTGAAGACCTAGCTGCCAAACATGGGACAGAATGGGTTTGGAAGATCCATCCTGCAGACTCTCCCCATAGAAATGGTGCAGCAGAAGCTACTGTAAAAATAGTGAAGCGGGCCCTGAGCAATCTTGGAGGAGAGGGCATCTTCACCTGGGGTGAATTCCAAACCTTTCTTTACATGGCAGCCAACCTTGCAAACGAAAGACCTATTGATGCCAAAACTCAAAGCAGGGAAGATTGTGTGGGATATGTCACCCCAAATTCTCTGCTTCTAGGGCATGCAAACCCGAAGGGAGACCCTGGAGACTTCCAGTTTGATGGTTACCCATACAAAAGACTAAAAAGTATTCAAACAGAGGTCAGTAAATTCTGGAAAAAGTGGAGCCAATTGGCTGGACCAAATCTTTTTGTACGGAATAAATGGCACACCAAAGAGCGAAATGTCGCTGTTGGAGATGTGGTCTGGTTGGCTGATCAAAATGCCTTGAGAGGACAATACAAGCTGGCCAGAGTTGTTAGTGTCAACACTGACAGGAAAGGCATTGTAAGAGACGTGCTTGTGAGGACCTTTCCTAGCTATCCGGTTCCCACCAGAAAGGCAGTTGGAAAGAAGGCGGTTGCAGAATCCATTAGACTGAAACAAAAAATCCCAACCACTATCCTTCATAGGGATGTTAGACGCCTTGTCATTCTAATTCCTGTTGAAGAACAAAACAACAAAGTACTTGTGTGATCTCATTGGGTTTGGAAAACCATGAGCTCAAGTGGGAGGTGTTGGGTTAAAGTTGAGTAAATGGAGGTCTAACTGGTCCACCACCACTGAGAACTACATCTCCCAGAATGCACCAACAAAATGGCGACTGATTGGTGATAAAAAACACCTATGCAGGGTGGTGGCTCTCAGTCCTTAGTCAAACAGGAACAGCACAGCAAGCTCTAACAATGAGTTGACTCTAAAGACGCCAATGGTTGGTAACTATTGTTTTATTTATGATATGAAGTTGTTTTGGGTGACCTTTGAAGTCATGCTTTAATTTAATTGTTTACACTGTTAGTGTGGGAAGATTTAGTTTAGAAGTTCTTTGTTTATTGTATTTTATATAAATGATGTGACATCTAACACTTATCTCTGTTCTTTGAAGGTTATCAACCTAATGTTCACTGAACTGACATAATAAAAATTGTTGGAATGTGATGGAGTTGTCCCAAAGTGTCCCTTTAGAGTGAAACTAGTGTGGAGCTTGACAGAGTGTGCACGTGCAGCATGCACGCCTCGTGCACAAGCCTAGTATTGAAGCTGCCGTTACGCTTTTGGCCTGAGGGGGCAATTGCGAGCACGAAAATTCAAAACTCTGTAAAGTCCCTTTAATAAAAGAAAAAAAGTCTCTTCATCTTCTGTCTTCATTGCTGGAAAGCAAGGGCGTAGGAACGAGTTTAATATTGGGGGGGACACATTTTGGACATCTAACAAATCTGTTGTAGGTCAATATATACCGTAGGTCAACTTCACTGGAAAAAATACATTAAATGATTATTTCTGATTCTAATGTGTCACTGAGTGTTTGATGCAGGCTGAACATGAACATAATCTCCTGCCGCTATCTCCTGCATTAGCTTCTGATAGAAAATCTGATAGATGGTGAAACTCTAGGATTAGAAAAGTCTGACGGATGTGACTCAGGGTGTAAGGCAAAGCCCAGAAAGACAAGAAAATAACTTTTATAGCCCAGTTCACTAACATTCTGTTTTGTTTTGTTTTTTTTTTTGATCGGGGACCCATGAGCCAGCCAGAAGGGGAGGAGACTTAGGCTCCTTTTGACACTGTAGACCACAACGTTCTACTAAACAGGTTAAAGGCCCTGGCTGGGATTTCAGGTTCTGCTCTAGACTGGCTCTCTTCTTATCTCACCAACAGAACATTCACAGTGAAGTCCGAAGCCTTCTCTTCAGACACTGCCTCTCTAACATGCGGGGTCCCACAAGGTTCAGTTCTAGGGCCTCTTTCCCAGACATCTCCTACCACATCTACGCTGATGATATTCAGCTCTATATGTCCTTTATGCCACACCAGTTGGACAGGCTGGCCACACTTGTACTCTGCCTGACCCAGATCAGTAACTGGCTGTCCAGCAACTTTCTTGTCCTGAATGCTAACAAGACAGAGACCCTGATCGCTGCACCCCCGGAACTTCAGCCAAAAATCGAGCAAGAAATTGCCTCTTTTTGCCCATCAGCCAAGGCCAACATTAGGAACCTAGGAGTTATTTTTGATCCAGCTTTAAGTTTAGACTCACACGTCAAAACCATCTCCCACTCTTGTTTCTTTCAACTGAGAAACATTTCAAAAGTCCGTAAACTGGTTTCTACTGCAGATCTGGAAAAAATCATCCATGCCTTTGTGTCATCACGCTTAGACTACTGTAATGCTCTTTTTACTGGTCTCAGCAAAACCTCCCTCTCACGCCTTCAAGCCATCCAAAATGCAGCAGCCAGACTCCTAACCAAATCCAGCAGACGAGCTCACATCACCCCAGTTTTACAGTCCCTCCACTGGCTCCCGGTAGAATATAGAATACAGTTTAAAGTTTTAGTCCTGACCTATAGAGCTCTTAACAACCAGGCTCCAAGCTACCTATCTGAGCTTTTATCCCCACACACCACCTCTCGGAACCTTAGATCCACATCTGAAAACCTCCTGGCTGTTCCTCGAACCAGACTGAAAACCAAAGGGGACAGGGCCTTTCAGACTATTGCACCCAGACTTTGGAACAGTCTACCTTCTAATCTCCATCTCTCTAACACTGTAGAGGTCTTTAAAAATCGTCTAAAAACTCACCTTTTCATCCAGGCGTTACCTCCCTAAATGTTTCAGAATGATGGCTTTGTTCGGGTTCACACCTTCACTTTGTTTATACTCATGATTTAATTTTCTACTTTATCACTGCTATTGTTTTTCTGATGTTTGTATTGGTTAGAGGTATTTGCCCTGATCTTTATCATGTTGTACAGCGCTTTGTGATTTATGTCTGTGAAAGGCGCTATATAAATAAACTTTTACTTACTTACTTACTTACTTTTACTTACTTACTCCCCATTAGCCGGATCCAGGTGATTACCGGCCAACGTGGACGTTTTAATTATAAAAAAGCTGTTTATGTGTCAGTAGTGTTTTATTTTTATTTAATAATATGAATGTAGGATATATTTTAATAATATGAATGTAGGATATATTTTAATAATATGAATGTAGGATATATTTTAATAATTTGAATGTAGGATATATTATCTTATTCCTATGGGTAGAGATGTGTAAACAGATTTAATACAAGACTAAAGCTGTGAATATTCAGTCTGAATTGATCTGACTCTCATCAGAATATTTTAAACTACATCAGCCAACAATGCTGACCAACAATCAGAAAAATCTGTTTGTTTCTGACAGAATGAAAAAAGAAATAATTCACTTACAACAACAGCTGGAACTACGTTAATTTTCTGATGGACAGAAGAAAAAACAGTGGCCAAAATTGCAGTCTGAATGCACCAGAAAGCAGAGTTTAACACTTATTTTTCTAATATTTCTAAGGGAGTGTATACAGAATGTAATTTATTCTTAAACCGTACTGCCCAGCCCTACTTGTAATGGGATTACATATATTTAACTGTGTTCACTTATTATTACATTCAAATCTTCCTCTCATCAGCAACCTAAAGCCATCTCATTCTTCACTGTAGCACCTACCTGCACCTCAGCAGGTCTGGTGCTCCCTGTCTCACCCTCAGCAGGTCTGGTGCTCCCTGTCTTAATCTCAGCAGGTCTGGCGCTCCCTGTCTCACCCTCAGCAGGTCTGGTGCTCCCTGTCTCACCCTCAGCAGGTCTGGCTCTCCCTGTCTCACTCTCAGCAGGTCTGGCTCTCCCTGTCTCACCCTCAGCAGGTCTGGTGCTCCCTGTCTCACCCTCAGCAGGTCTGGCTCTCCCTGTCTCACCCTCAGCAGGTCTGGCTCTCCCTGTCTCACCCTCAACTGGTTCCTGCTGAACTTCATCTGATCTCTAATATAAAAACAGTGGACAGGAATAAGGAGTAAAAATACTGTTGGAGGACAAGTGCAACATTAAAATCATGGTGGTTATAGTATTATTTAGTCGTGCTCACTTGTTATCATGCTCAAATCTTCCTCTCATCATCAACCATCTAAAATCTCACTCCACTGTAGCACCTACCTGCAGCTCAGCAGGTCTGGCTCTCCCTGTCTCACCCTCAGCAGGTCTGGCGCTGCCTGTCTCACCCTCAGCAGGTCTGGCGCTCCCTGTCTCACCCTCAGCAGGTCTGGTGCTCCCTGTCTCACCTTCAGCAGGTCTGGTGCTCCCTGTCTCACCCTCAGCAGGTCTGGCGCTGCCTGTCTCACCTTCTTCTTCATTTCCTGCTGAGCTTCCTCTGGTCTCTTATATGAAAAAAGTGACATGAGAATAAGGTTTAAAAATGAAATGTGATGAGAATGTCACAAACAAGCAACAATCACACTTACAAACTCCATTTCTATGTGGAGATTCTACTTTTTTATTTATTTCGTGTCAAATGGTTTTTGTCTGTTTCTGTAAAATTCGCCATTTTTTGTTGACTAGTAGTGTTGTTTAATGTTTAATGCTAACTAGCAAGATGTTTACGCTAGTCAGCCAGTTTAGCGTTTGACCAGAAATACAATTATACTCTTGGACTAAATTATTACCAACTCACAATTCCTTTCTTTCTTTTTTTTGCCCATGAGAAGAACTCGCTGAGCTGCTGTTGTCTGTCTCTGACACCTGTGTCTGCCCCGGCTCTGACTCCTGCTTCTCTCAGCCAGCCTGTCTAAACTCCCTGAGGGGAGGGGCTGTGTCGGAGAGAAGTCCGCGGTGTCTTTCAAAATAAAAGCTCGCGAGTCAAATATTTCAAAATCAATCTTTTTCTTCTCCATGTTATTGGGGGGGACAAATGCGCGTTTGTCAAATATTGGAGGGGACACGTCCCACCCGTCCCCCCGGTTCCTACGCCCTTGCTGGAAAGTAAATAGTTTAGAAGTGAATGCATGACCTTGAGGCGGTTTCATGCACTCTGGCGCTGTGTCAAAGGGAACTGTGGAAAAGGTTAAATAACCTTGGAGGAATAGCTCCTTCATCACGTTACAATTCCAAATGTAAATTTCAAGAACATTTTATAGTATATTTGTTTTATACTTTTGTCCAAAGTGATGGAAAAACTTACCTAACATGTTTTTTGGTATGTTGGAAAAAAACCAGAGAATCCAGAAAATATGAACACATGTGGAGAACATGCTAACTCCGCACATGCATGTGGAGAACATGCTAACTCCGCACATGAGGAGAACATGCTAATTCCACACATGCATGAGGAGAACATGCTAAGTCCACACATGCATGAGGAGAACATGCAAACTCCACACATACATGTGGAGAACATGCTAACTCCACACATGCATGTGGAGAACATGCAAACTCCACACATTCATGTGGAGAACATGCTAACTCCACACATGCATGTGGAGAACAGGCTAACTCCGCATATGCATGTGGAGAACATGCTAACTCCGCACATGCATGAGGAGAACATGCTAATTCCACACATGCATGAGGAGAACATGCTAAGTCTACACATGCATGAGGAGAACATGCAAACTCCACACATGCATGAGGAGAACATGCTAAATCTGCGCATGTATGAGGAGAACATGCTA